GGTAGTTGTTCTCACCCTCAGCCGGCTTCAGAAACTCATTGATGCTCACAGCCTACAAATCCAGAAACACACATCATTAGCAAACTTATTGAATTCTACAACAAACTCAACAATGATCTATATACCTTCTTAGCCTTCTCTTCTTTGTCATCTTTGCGTTTGTCCTTGTCAGAACCCTGAGGAATAGATCAAAGCAAGGTTCATAATCAGTTAAAGCTAGTTTTGACAAAATATGGAGAATAATAACATAGGAATAGGATATGACTTACCAACTTGATGAAGATTTCATCATTAGACTTCTTGTTTGAGAGTTGTTGCATTGACTCAAACACTTTAGTATCAACTTTCCTTTCAGAGGTTGTCTGAGACTGAAGAGCCTTTTTCTTCTCTTCAAGTATTTTCTCATACTCATCAAGAGTCATTTGCTACCAAAACACAAGCCGCCAATAAGCAATTAATGAGAATAACAAGCCGATACAAGTCTACGTTTCTGGTCATGATATCCTATTATATTTATATCATGAACTAACTTGTGAAAAGCAAACAGTAACCTAATATCTTTCTTAATTTAACGGCTTACCTTCTCCTCGGGTTTCTCCTCCTCTACTTCAACAGTGTTTTCCTTGTTGGAATCAGCAGCTACATCATCACCGGATGGCTTCTCGACAACATCCTTCTCAGTCTCAACACCAGCTCCTTCTTTAGTCTCACTTAAAGATCCAGAGAAGCTTCTTTTAATTGAGGTTCCCAATCACGATATTTCAGAAATGAAATCAATAAAACAAACACTTACCCAGTAAGGATTTGGTCAAGGACTTCTTCTCCTGGAGTTCCCCAATTTCCACGACCAGATCCATCGCGCTTGAAATCACCCCTAAACAAAAGATAAACTTGAGCTTATCAGATTGATGCAGTCATTTGAATGGCAATATATGTAACATGGAAAATATAAAAAAAGTGTAGACAAACCCTCTGCCAGTTCCACTACGACGCTCATATGTCCTACGAGGACGTT